CCTGATCTTACACACACATGCACATGAGCAGGCTTGTATGTATGTATCGTGTACATAGACAACAATTGCACAACACATATTTGGTATCGCAGAACAAGCTGGAAAAATTGGAATAAGTCAAGGGCCATCACTAATGACAAAGTGTTATTAAACCCAAGTAATTTATCAAACAGCCAGACACATGTAAGGTTATTTAATAATCCATGTTGATTTCACTCTTTCATCTAGCACTGGATCCTCTTAGATCTGCCTAGATCTGAATAGGACCTTTGATCCCCCACCTACCAGCGGTGATTCAGTTAAGCTTATCTGCTGGTCTTCCGTGGCAATAATATGAAGGTAGAGAGGCCAGCTACTTCATAGCACTTATGCATTATAAATGTGAGGGCTCATTGGACATGTAGTCCTCCCCACTGGGCATAAGAGTAGAGAAATTGTGCGTACGCTCCCTGCCTGGAAGTTAGAGGGAAGTGTAGCACCAGGGATGTGGAGCGGTGAAAAATTTAACAAATTTGGGTATTGTAGTTTTGTCACTGAGGCACGCAATTTTGAGTCTTGATGTTCTTTAATGGTTTAAAGAATATTTGGAGATTGTGCAATAACGTACATTTTGAGTGTATTTTTTAATGGAAAAAAAAATTGTTTGATAAAGAGCTCAAATATACAGCATGAAAAATTGCAGCTTACATTTTATTCTACAGGATCTCTGATTCAGAAAATATGTAATAATTTGGGGTGGTAACTTATCTCTTTTTTCCATTGAAAAAATGCACACCGGTATAAGTGTGCAAAATACATTAATGGCTCTGGTGGGGACTCCATGGGAAACCTGTGCTGTTAATATTAGTGAGAGACTGCATCATATGTTTTTTTTTTTTTTCTTTGCCCATAATTACTTTTTATAACTTTTAATTTTAACTGGCAAATGCAATTTCTTTATCATCCATTGAGGGACACAGGAATTCATATACAGTCAGGTTGTACTGCCACCTACAGGAAAATTGGACCCTGGCAAGCAAACATTGTAGGCCAGCTCCTGTATAACCCCTCATGTACCCTGCATGCATCAGTTTTTCAATAGTGCCGCAGGAGGACCGCATCAGGATCGGCATTTCCTCAGCACTAACTTGGGAAGTCGTAGATCGCTGGACTGGATCTGCAGAGCAAGCCTGGAACTTTCAGGTGCTGGGCTCTGCATTGTGGTACTTTCCATACCTTGGTGTATTGTGTTGGCCATGGAGCCTTTTCCAGGTCCAGAGAGTGGCAAAGCCCCAGGTGTGACCCTGTCTCTGAAGACTCCGGGAAGCACTGGGAGCTACCTCTTCACATATACTGCTTAGCACAGGTTTAAATCCTCTGTCACTCCAGATTTACCACCGTAAGGGTGAAGGACAGTTGCCTCACCTCACTCCATACACAGCTGTTCAGGGGGCGTTTACCCGGTGTCCTACAAAGTAAGAGACCTTTGTAATACAGACCTCTGTGAACTCAGGATTTTCAGGCTGTATATGCTCAGTTGTTGGGGCATTCCGCCTCAGAGGCTCAAAACACACTTTGGCACCTTTACCTGCAGAGTCTGTCTGACACTCCAGAGGTCTTTGGCCCCTGTCACCATCTCTGAGGAGACTAAGTGCTCCAGAACACTGCTAGGACTCTGGATATGACATTGCATCAGATTCAGAGGGTTGTTTCAAATCTTGTAGCTGCAGTGTGTTCTATTAAAGAATTGCATTTAAAGAATTTGTCTACTGTTCCAGGATTGCTACAAAGAGCTTTCCACTACACCCACCGTTTGATACATTCCTCCCTATGAAATGAAAACACACAGCCACTGGGTCCCACCTGAGCTTGTGGCTGAACTTTTCTCGTTTTTAAAAGGGAATTTAAAAAAGGGTGGTCTGTTTCTATTGTGGATGCACCAGTGAACCACATTATCCGAAAGACTACTAGACTGGCAGAGAATGTGCTCACCTTTTAGGGATTCCACTGTACCTCCTTGTATCCCAGTTTGAAATGGCTGGTCGTGTTCTCCCTGGTGAGTTTGATCTGTCAGTTGGTATCAGGGGAGGTTGGATCCCTCTACTGCTGGGACAGGTCCCTGTTTCAGAGTGGATAAAACAAATGGATGGAGCTTTGTGCTTCAGTTGCAATAGCTTGATGCAAGCTTCCAAACTTGTGTCTTGCATGAGACTGATGTCTGCACAACTGTGCAGAGTACTCTGGCTACATGCAGAGGACGCTGATGCTGTACCAAGGAGCATCTGACTCGTTTACCTTTTGAGGGACACAATTTATTCAGGCCTAACCTTGACACCATGATTAGCATTGCAGAGAATAGCTATGGTGTGTTCTTGCCTCAGGAGAAATCAGAGGCATCCCTCCCCTCTCCTTCACCAACTTCGGCTTGTAGACACTTGTTGGCAATCAGAGCCTAACTTCCATTCAGCCCACAAGGCTTAGAGCCAGAGGATGGCTGAAGGCTCCGGGAAATCTTCTGAAATAAAGTTTAAGCGGAGGCTGACAAGTGGGAGGCAGACTATATTCAGATGGGCCTTTGGGTGAATTTACCTCTCTGACGTTTGAATTCAGAGGATACCCCTTTTAGCCTTTAGGCTAACACCTAACACCTTCCTCAGTAACCCCTGTCTCTGCGGTGCTACTGCACAAGACACCGTTGCCTCCCCTGTTAACTTGGGTTCCTCACATCTGGAGAACCCTGTAAACCTTTCTAAAAGAGGGCTAATTTTTTTTTGGTATCCTGTACCACAAGTGGTTTTACAGAACCCAGGGGGACCTCTGGACATTTCAAGATTGACCTAGACCAACCTTAGTTGTTCCTTATTTAAAATGTGGATCTGATGACTCTGCACCTTTTAGAGACACCTGCTGCTTCCTGCAGCACTGATCTTTTTGTTCGCCCTAGTTCTTTCTTCTGGTTTTCCATGTGGGATAGTTACATGACCTCCTCCTGAAGAGAGCCAGGTTTTTTGGGCCCTTTTAATTGAGCACACCTTTGGTTGGCCTAGCACTTATAAGCTTTAGCCGGTTAGCACCTCACAGTTGTCTATTGTGGCTAGGGATCCGAGCTCTGTGCAAGGTCTTTACTCTGTCCCATGGACCACGGAGTCACTGGAGCGACCCTTCGTACTCTTTGGGTAAACTGGGTTGTTCTTACCCTGGCCCATGGCGGTCTTCTGAGCATGGGGGTCTCCAGTCTGACTCCCCAGAACTAATGGTTTCCTCCTTTTTCTTTTTTTTTTTAAATCAGATAGTTTTTATTGATTTTACACGTACAATTAAAAAAAAAAGACAAATAATCCAAGAGGGGGAGGGAAGGGGAGCATATATTAAACAGAGACTAAACCAAGCCCACCAAGAGAAATAAAACCTATAAACCACTGTGCGGGGAACCAACACCTTTCGCTGTGAACACATGACTACATGTAATAGAAGCCAAGACTAGCCTTATGTATCCACCGTGAGAATGCGTGCAAGCTGGCTAATCGGAGAGGTCATGACCCCGGTACGTCAGCCAGTCGTCCAAAATAGAGTGGAACTGAGGCAAGGTACCCCTCGGTTTAAAAGTAACCCTCTCGTACGCTACCATCCTGTCAAGTTCCACTATCCATGAGTTCAATGTAGGAGGTGACGGGGAGATCCATTTACGGACCACCATCCTGGTTGCGGTAAATAAGGCCCGCTTAAGTGCTATAGCAGTGCGATGCGTAAGATCGTCGGATTCCACAATGCCCAGCATACACGTCAATGGGGAGTTAGTCACTGAGGATGTAAATACAAGGTTAAGGGTATCTACAACCTGATCCCAATACCGAACCAGCTTAGGGAATCTCCAAAGCAGGTGGATCAGGGAACCACGATGAAAGCCACACTTGGGGCAGTTGGAGTCAGCTCTAAGCCCAATACGGAACAAGAATTCAGGGGTGCGATACGTCCTGTGAAGTATAAACAGTTGCGTCAGTCTATGTGTGGGGGACAGGGAGACCTGGGTAACCCCCTGAAGAACATCCTCCCAGACATCATCCTCTATGGGTCCCACGTCTCCCTCCCATCCCACCCTGCACTTCAGAGGGAGGAGGACATTGGATTTAAGCAGAAGATGAGCATATAGAAAGGAGATAATCCCCTTAGTGGAGGTTGCCAATAGTACTGTATCAAATATCGGAGTGGGAGATAGAACTGGAGGGCCCAGAGGAAACTGGGATTTCAAAGCATGAGTAATCTGGAGGAACTGGAAGTAGCACCTACCGGGAACTCCATAAGTTTCCGTCAGTTCCTTAAAGTCCCGCAGTCTGCCCTCCCTGTACAAGTGTGATATAGTGAAAACCCCTTTGC